CCCTTATACCTCCATTTGTTTTGCTCATACGATTTTGATATTTAAATTATGTTTGAGTGCATACATCTTCATTGTAATTTAGGTATATTTCTGTCAAAGTCATGATTGAGATTGATTATAATTGCAAGTATAAGGACTAAAAAACCTATATTAAATTATAAGAACTAAGAAAAAGATTAAAAAAATAATAACATGGACTAAAAAGATCTTTTCTAAACTATAGGGACTAAAAAGTAAAATAAGAGAAACTATAAGGATGAGTGTTGCAAGTGAGAGTCAATTCAAAATAGTCAACATTACTAAAATGGGTGTCTCAACAAGGAGCATTTGCATGTGAGAGTAAAAAAAGGCATGAAACATTGATAAAAAAAACCTAATTTAAAGTAACTCTCACAAAATAAATTTGACATAAAACCCAGAAAGTTGAATTAATTCTCTATCATATTAAATTCAAAAGAAACAACGTTACAAAAAAAAATAACAGTTAGGACTAAAAAGATTAAAAGACCATGATATCCATGGCTTGTCTTGGCCAAAACAAAAACTAGAGAATTAATTTGCTTTGGCTAACCAAATGAAGGTTAAACCAAGCCAAATCAATTCCTTAGGCCAAGAGAAGAAAAATAAGCTCAATATCACTTTTGGCTATTTTCACACCTTTACTACTTCCACACCACCTAGAATGGCTGTCACACCACTAGAATGACTATTTTTACTCCAACTACTAAACTCAAAGAAACTAAAATATGGTGACCATGAATCCAAGTTTAAATGGAATAAATTTCATAAAGGAACATGCCTCTAAAATCTAAAGGCGTGACCTAAAACTAAAGAAACATACACCCCTAAATACAAGGGTAAAAACAACTTATTCACTTAACTACTATATACAGAGGAATATAAAGAAAACTATACAAAGTATATACAATAGAAGGGTAAGCAACTAGGAGAAGAACACATACTTTATGCTCATGATAAGCAAAGGTCTAAGAAACACATTCTCTCTGATAGCTTCCTCTAGCCTCCTAACCATAGATCTTGTCAAAGGTCCAATAGTGGTCTAATGTATCATCTTTCTAGTTCATTTGTCTTTAAAATTAATCAATCTTCTGCTCTTTTACATATTTCTTAGAGATTTTATTAAGTTAAATATGTAAATCTACAAAATCCCTTTTCCAAATCTTATAGTTTCCTATTAGTTTTAAGTGCATCATTAAACTTCACATGAATTGATTCTTCTATAACAGATGATTCCCTTATCCACTTTAGAATAAAAGGGTTTTGACAAAGAGTTTCCACAAAGAAGAGTTATACCTTTTGGAAAATACCATTCTTTTTGCAAAACACTTTAAAATATGAGTTTTCAAACTTAATTTCGTGGTCACTTATAATTAAAAATATACAAAAATCTTTTCTATTTTGAATTTTTTTTATAAAATATTTCAAATTCATTAAAAGCATTACTACATAAGACACATTTTACATCAGCTTTTTGAAGCATTTTACATCGATTTTGAAAACGATGTAGATTAAGGTGACATAGAAAGTGTAAGACATTCTACATCGGGGTTAAAAAAATGATGTAGAAAGTTTCATTTGTACACCGGTTCTAGACAGAACCGATGTAGAATATGGCATATTCTACATCAGTTCTATCAATAACCCATATAGAAAGTTCAATATGTACATTTACTTTAGTAGGAAGAATTCATTTACATCAATTACCCCAAAATTTCTTATAGTATCACACTATTAAATACTAATCACTAAAAATAATTTGACTCAAAAAATAAAATTTTTGTTTGTTAAATTAAGCTTAAAACAATATAATATTATAATTTAAACATAATGCAAGACAAAGATTGAGTGCGTCTTAAGAGTATATAACAGTACTTAAGAGAGAAAAATAAAATGATTGAATACCAAAGACAAGCTTTAGTGTGTCTTACTTCACTTAGCTTCATAATGTATATTTATATATATCAAAACCAGAAGTATAATGAATAGAATAGACAAATAAAAAGGAATTACAGTTTTATCCCTATAAGACTATCACAACCAGCTATAACTTAGAAAAATATATTACAAAAAACAACATAAAAATATTGTGATAAATGAAAATTTAGTACTGTAGAACAATATATAGGTTAGCAGCAAACTATAGTGTTGATTGGTTACTCTAGTTTCTATGATGGAGGACCATCCATGGAACTTCATGTGAGACCAATCACTAAGCCAATGGCTAGGAGAGTGGAAGAGGATAGGGAAGTCAAATCTTAGAAGACATGCTTCTCAAGATTAAAATACACTAATCACTCTCCTAAGCTTTGATAGCCTAGAATTTATCTTTATGCCTATTTTACCTTTGTCTTTGATTTTCTATTTTTACCCTTGTATTTTGGGGTATCTTAGACATAGAATATATTTTACTTGTATTCCAATTTTACCCTTGTATTTTGGGGTATTTTAGTCATAGGATTTATTTTCTTTTATATTTCTCATTTTACCCTTGTATTATGGGGTGCTTTAGATCATAGGTTTTTATTTTTGGGCTAAGGTATTTGATTAGGGTGGGAACAAAACCTAGACATATTTTTGTGGCTCTTGGACCTATTTTTGTGGCTCTTGGACCTATTTTTGGTGTTAGAAAGGCTTAGGCCCAAGTGGAGGGCAAATGTTGCATGGTCTTATCATGCACCTAGATGTAGCCTAACTAATCCCAAAGATTCCATCATTGGCTACCAAGTTGCATCTAGGATTCATTTGCATTTCATTTGGTGTGCATTTGGCTTGTGAATTTCGTCCATGCACTCTCCAAATGCAACCCTAGATGCCTCCCACTCCTATAAATACCCTAGGCTATGCATCATGTAAATACTTTGGCTAGAAGCCATTTTCACCAAACAAGATGATGTAGAAAGTATCCTTGATGGTGCCACACTCTTGGAAAGTTATAAGCCTTTTCAATTTCTCACCACACTCAAGAAAGGATAAGAGAAAAGAAATAATTTCAAAGAGAGAAACAAACCTTGAGAGAGAGAACTTGGGAGAGAAAAATCTTGGCCAAATCAATATATCACTCAAAATGTGTACAAAATGGGTCAAAACTCCTACATATAAAGCTAGGTAGCTTGGAGAGGAAGCTAAACATCAAGGAGACAAGGAGGAGACACTTAGATCTAGTTCCAACAATCACAAACAATCCAAGTGGACATGTTTGATACATGTAGGTGATAACTAGATCTAAAAGATCCAAAAGTGCCAAGTGTCCTCTTGTCTCTAGGTGATTGGAGAAGTAGTTCCAAGGTTGAAAACTAGCCAAGAATGGTGGCGACCATGATATCCATGGCTTGTCTTGGCCAAAACAAAAACTAGAGAATTAATTTGCTTTGGCTAACCAAATGAAGGTTAAACCAAGCCAAATCAATTCCTTAGGCCAAGAGAAGAAAAATAAGCTCAATATCACTTTTGGCTATTTTCACACCTTTACTACTTCCACACCATATATATATTAAATTATAGAGTAAAAAGAATGGAAAAAGATAACTATAGAAACTAAAAATATCAATTTTAAATTATAAGAATTAAAAGATAAAAAAAGTAAAATTATAAGAACTAAAAAAATTATTGTTAAGTCTAAATACAATCTTAGATTCCTCATTTTTCGCAAGTCTTAATCATAACAAACACTACATCTTTCGACAAAAAAACATTTTTAAAAAATTGTTTCAAACTTTGTAGGATGAAGTAGCGTTTATAAGACAAAATAAATCAAATGAAACATACAACTGTCTATTATGCTCTTAACGTCTATTATTTATTATGATTGACGAATTTAAATTTTCAAATAAATACTTTATACCTTAACAGATCGAAAGTCATTGTCTTGGAACTCACATTTTATTAAAGGTGTATGAAGGCATATAGAGCATCATAATAAAGGACAAAGATTCTAGATCTCATGAAAAAGGTGTGATAAAAGCACTATATCTTTGTTGCACACCGACTATGCTTGCTACTATTCCCATTTTACTGCTTTGTTATGATAAGTAGCTTGATCCTTAAAAAATAAGGAATACGTTTTAGTGAAAGACATTAATTGAAGCATTTAATGCACCAATGAATACTTCTTCTCTCTCTGGATCAAACGAAAAAGTAACACGAAGCAGTTATGTGAATCAGACTTAAGAAATTGCAACAACCATCTCTTTTGAAGTTACTATATAAGAAACAACTTAAGAAAAGATGGAATAGTGAAGACAAATAACACATATACAACTCAAGAGAGAACCATGTAGATAGATTAAACTTTTGTTGTAATCAAGTCTAAAAGAGACGATAAAAACAACCTTGAAATACCTTTATAACCATTGTTATAGACTAGGACCTGAAGAGACTTGTTTGTAAAAGAATATTTAGGGTTAATCCTAGAGAGACTTATTTGTAAAAAGAATACTTAAGTAGTAGTTTGAAGAGACCAATTCAAAAATACTTGTATTGAACCATAAGTGGTTTGGTGAAATGATACTTGTAATTTTATTAAAAATTAGTAGAACTCAATTTGGTTGGATTAAAAACTAGACGTAGTCTCAATGATTGATTAATTACTCTTTTAACTCTTCATCTAGTGCAAATATTACTTCACTGACTTATAAACGTGCAAGTTTTTAATATACATTATTCAACCTCCTTTTGATATCTATCTTTTCTCCACAATTATTTTAACATAATTTATATTATTAATAAATTAAATATTATTATTGATATGACTTTTTGTTTAAATTAGCTATTTTTCACGAATAGTCATTTATAATATTTTATATTATTAATGAATAAGATAATATTATTAGTAGTACGACTTTTTCCTTTAGTTTATAATTTTTTATAAATGATTATTTATGATCAAATGATGAAATAAATTTATTTTTTAAATAATTGAATAATAATAAAATGACAAAACCAAAACAAGCACTGAAGTAACAATTGAATAATAATTTCTCAGAAGCTTTTTATTCCCGCCTTGAATTCTGGAAGCTCCATCAGTTGGAGAGAGAAAGAGAGATGTGTGGGAGAGCACGTTGTTCTCTTAGAGCGGATGATGTCCCAAGGGCTTGTCACCGTACCGTTGCCCCAACTCGCACTCTCGATATCGACAGGTAAAGTTAACACTATAACATGTGAAGTGAATCACACAAACTCTTTCGAGCAATTATTTTATTGGTATGTCAAAGCAGAGACTACGAGGGAAGATTTTCCTCAGTGTTCATGTGGGTCTGAAAATAGTATGACTGTTAATGGACAACGTTTAAGAAAAATGAAACTTTTATCTTTTGGGTTAGTTGTGTTGGGGTTGTTTCAAGTGGGTCTGAAACGGTTGTTGTGGGAACGAATGATAATGTGGAAGAAAGAAAAACAGGGACATTGTTTTTCCTTTTTGTTTTTTTTGATGTTGTTATGTTGGGGGGTTTTCTCAAGTCGGTCTTAAAATTGTTTTTGTAGGAAAATATGTTGGGGAGTTTTCTGAAGTTGGTCTTAGAATTGCGTGAATGAATGAATGAAAAAAAGGGAAAGTTGTTGCTTTGTTTTCTTTCATTTTGTCACCATGATGGATTTTTCAGTTTTCGGAAGGAAATGGTTGGTGTTTATTTTATTTTTCACTATTGAATTTGGCTGTGGTTAGGTATAGGCCATCATATAACGTGTCGCCGGGATCTGACGTGCCAGTAGTTCGTAGAGAAGATGTATCTGATGGTGAAGGTTATGTTCTTCATTGTATGAAATGGGGTTTAATCCCCAGTTTTACAAAGAAAACAGAGAAACCTGATCACTACAGGATGGTATAGTTTACAAATTACCATTTCTTTTTCTCCCTTCTTCATTGGATTAGCTTGATGATCAGTGGTGGAACTTCACTAAACTTTTGTGGGGATGAATGGTTTGAGTAACTTCAATGGGGTTTGAATAAGTAGTTAGTGGTAATACATAATTAGTTGATAGTAAAGAGTATATATTAATAAGAAGCTAACATTGAAATACCTAGTTAGGTTCCTACACTAATCAACAAACTAATTTTCAATAACTAGAGGAGCCCACGTTTAATTCTGGATTTGGTTTCATTTGGTTTATATGGGGTTATTATTTTAGTGAATGGAAACATAACATTTTAACCTATGTATATATTTTTAAGTACTATTTCTCTGGTGATTTCCTGAGAATGAATTACTTTAATTTAGATTAAGTAACTAAATATGTTCTGTCCTTATGTGGTATATATTGGCAGGCTTAATTGGATAAAATGGTGACAACTGACACAATTGAAATTTAAATAAGGTAGCCTTTTCTGTGGAGAAAGTGTCACATAAATTGCGGTGATTGGTAAGGAGATGAAACACTTTGCTTGGAAAGATTTAGGGAAGGCGAGGGGGTGGGGGAAGCTGTCCTTCTTAAGGTCTGCCACTGCTAAAGACAGATTCTTCCCTGTATTATTGTGTTATTTTGATTCTAAGGGTTTGTTATATAGTAATTCTAACATCAGATGAATCATTTTGATTAGCTATTTAAGCAACACTTAAACTTTGAGGGGAAGATTGAGGGAGAGAGAGAGAGAGAGTAGAGTCTTTTAGGGACAATTTTAAAGCCATTTACTTTTCAACTTCCCTTATGTATGTCATCATAATCATTCCTGATGAGCCTGGAAATTTCTCTGGATGCTTTTTAACTTTGGAGGCTAGAAATGTCATTTTAGATTTACATTCATTACAAAAAAATTTGGTGTGTTTACTGTTTTCACAATCATTATGGGAGTTTGTCGACTACAATACAATGACTTTAAAGTATAATTCCTCAAATGAAGTACTCAATCTAATGTGAAATATGCTCTGTGTACTGCAGTTTAATGCTCGATCTGAATCTATTGATGAAAAGGCATCATTTCGTCGTCTGCTTCCTAAAAGCAGGTGCCTTGTAGCAGTAGAAGGGTATGTGTTGCATTACTTAATTATATTTTCACTCGTCTTTTCTTAGCTTTGGTTTTAACATGTCTTGGCAATGCTTCCTGTTGCTGCAGCTTTTTATCCTCTTGCTGTTCCCTCTAGTATTGTAGTAAGGAATGCACTTCAATAATATATTGTACCTCACGTCTTTACTAATTACATAAAATGGATATTGATATTGAGTTTTAGGTGTAAAAATGCTTGCATGTACTGTTGAAGATTTGTCTCGATATATTTAAGACCTGTTTTGTCATATTTCCTAAAAATGCCTGAGCTGAATTAAAATGAGTTCTGCTTGCTGGGTAGACAATGTACTCCCAGTGTGTGTTTTTCTACCTGTTATGCACATAGTAATATTTGGGAGTTTGGATGGATTCTTCATTGAGGATGAGATAAATTCCACCCTGGCAACCATTGTTCTAAGCATATATCCCTTTTCTTATTATATCTCTAGTCTTTTGTTATTTTGTATTTTATGTCCATATTGTTGTCATATTCTTATTTACAAAATTTTGGTGCAATGTTTTCCTTTTGTCAAGAGATTTCCTTCTTTTAAAGTTGGTTAAAATACTTTTTTAGTCCCTATAATTTCACTTACTTTACCTTTTAGTTTCTATAGTTTAAAATTGACATTTTTAGTCCTTATACTTATTTATTTTAATCTTTTTTTGTCCCTAGGGTTTAAGATAGATTATTTTAGTCTTTGTACTTGCAGTTTTTTAATCCTTCTAGTCTCTTTCATTAATTCTTTTTATAATGTTATTTGTTTTTTGTTGATTTAGTAGAAGTTTTCAATTTTGTGAGGGTAAAGCAAAGTGTATCTTAACAATGGGCGTCGCAAGTGAGGGTACAAAAGAGACATTAAGTGTCGAGATACCTAATTTTGTGTAACTTCAGCATCAAATACACCAAGTTGAATTAATATTTCTGTCACATTAACACAAAAGAGACAACTTTTCAAAAAAAAATTTAACAACCAAGACTAAAATAGATTATAAAGTTGCAAGTACATGAACTAAAAAAATCTATCTTAAAACTATAAGGATTAAAAATAATTGAAAAATATAAGTACAGAGGCTAAACAAGTCTATTTTAAACTATAAGGATTAAAAGATTAAGTTAAATTATAGAGACTAAAAAAGTATTTTAACCTTTAAAGTTTATCTAAGTTTTCTAAAGTTTTTTCTATTACATCCATTCTTTGCTTATTCGTGGCTTTAAGTTCAGTTCTTTATATGTTAAGATTTTATGAGTGGAAAAAGGATGGTTCAAGGAAACAACCTTACTATATTCACTTCAAAGATGGGCGACCACTTGTCTTTGCTGCTCTTTATGACTCATGGCAAAATTCTGAAGGTAAAAAAATACTGCAGAAAGATGTAAGGGATTGACTTTATTTAATATCAAAGACCATGTTAATTTTACTTTATACACTTAATGTTAATGTAATATTTTTAACTGCAGGTGAAACATTATACACATTTACTATTGTTACCACCTCTTCATCTTCAGCACTTCAGTGGCTTCATGGTGAGTCATGCACTCTGAATGTTGGCATGCCCAAAAAGTTTCAGCTTTATAGTATTAATATCATCTATGAAAAAATTGTTAGTGTTAACTTGTTTCTATAGTGTAACAAGAAACGCTCATAAATATCACAAGTTGTTATTGGAAAAATTGGAATGAGAGTCTCGTGTTGCACCTACCTTGTGGCAGAAACTTAAAATATACGTTGCACTTTGTTCACGAGATACCCAAAGCATCAAGTCATTGACAGTTGGTTACAGTTAGAGCATCAACAGTTAGTTACATTACATCTAGTTAATTAGAATTTTTGGATAGACTATAGAGAGGAAGAGATGACACTATAAATAATAGAACAGTGAGGGTTCTTTGGTTTTTGAAGTGGAGGCCACTACAGTCAAAAGAGTAAGAGACTGTCTCATTATGTTTTATATTGCTTCTCAATCTCGTACAGTACCTTCCACTATGCACCGAGTTATTGTGCTTCCTTCATTTACTCTGGACTCTTGTGTTACCGTAGGCCTGTCAGATTCATTGTTCCTTGGTGGTATTTTCTCCTTTAATTCTAGGTCTCCACATCAGCTCATGTGTTTGGAGCCAAAGATCTTTTAACTTTTATTCAGTGTATCTTTCACCACCTATGTACAGCTGATAATCTTGTGACAACTCTGAAAGCTGAACGGTTTAAGAAGCCAAAAGTATTTGTTAATTGTTATGGACTTATGGCCATCCAAAGGAAAAAGAACTTGAACATAAGGCATTAAATTCCTGCTCCAAGTTTCTGACTAAGCCTTAAATAGTTTACTTCAATGGGAAAACTGTTATGAAATCAAGAGATGGTCTTATGAATGCAGAAGAGAAATTTAGCAAGACATGTAAAAGAAGACAAACAAGAGGTCTATTTCTTTATCGAAATAATGTAATGTTGCATCATTTCATGGAATAGGGGGAATGGAGGTTAGGTAATCTGGAAGTATGGTTATGAAGGGAAGAATACCCCTTTAGACAGTTTTAACATTTATCTTCACGCTAATTTACAGTGTGATATAGCTGAATAATTAACTACGTGAATTTCTCCATTATTCCATATTTGCAATTGTTTTTCTACTCCTTGTAGAATTCCTAGCTAGCTAAGCCTCTTTTTGTTTCTATAAATGAAAAAGAAAAACCTTCATAGAACATTAAGTTTCCTATCAAGTATCCGAACACATGGAAAGAGGAAACAAATAAATGGTACCAAGCCATTTTGGATTTGATTAGTTTGGGTCACAGTTGCACAAGATTCTCAGTATCTATTAGGTTATAAACCATTCCTTTTAAAGCCTTTTACCAGTTGAATGACCATGTATTATGTAAGTGAAATACTTATTTCTATACTTTAAATGTACCTCTTTAGACAGAATGCCTGTTATTTTGGGTAGCAAGGAATCAACTGATACCTGGCTAAGCAGTTCTGCTTCCAGTTTTAAGAGTGTGCTGAAGCCATATGAAGAATCTGATTTGGTATGAGCTTTACAAAAGATTGTCGCTGTAATTTCTATTTTCTTCATTGATACCAGTTCTGTCATTAAGATGTGCAGGTTTAGTATGGTTTCATTCAGTATTGTTGGTTTTCCTTTCTTTTAATCTACAGGTGTGGTACCCAGTGACACCTGCAATGGGCAAGCCATCATTTGATGGACCTGAATGCATAAAGGAGGTATGACAGTTTAACATTCATTTTGATGTTTCCTGTCACTTAGCCTTTTCTTAGTTTGGACGTCTTAAATATGTCTTGGTGTATTGAGTCGAACATGTAACTCAATCAACAAAATGACATGACTTTTATTTGAACCTGAAATTGCATTGCATCTACCTAGATCTTTATTCCCACTTCAGTCACTTGTCTTTGATGCACAAATTTTCAAAAAGGAAAAATTTATGACTGTAGTTTGTTTAATACTGACTGCTCAATTGAAAGATCTCAATGACTAGCTAAGGGATATATCAGTTGAACTATTTCCATCTGGTGTTGAACTTCTACAAAGAGTCTATTTGGATAAATTTATTCAAAAACACTTGTAGGAGAAAAAAATTGGAAGAAAAAAAAATTAAATTAGCTTCTCCTTAAGCTTAAATTAGTTTATGTACAAGTTAAAAATAATCTTTTAGAGAAGCCAATATGAGAGTTTTTACAAATTAGCATTTAGTTTTTAGAAAAGCTGATTTTATTTTTTTCTTTCTATTTTCTTTTACTATAAGTTCTTTTAATGAAATTTATCCAAACAAATATGTCAATCAAATATGCGAGCACGCTTGCTAGTCATGTTATTGTGCCCATGTGTGTTGAAGGGGACCATTACATTAACTTTTCTCATGCTCTTGCTTATATATCTACATGCTTACAGTTCACAGTTCACACCAATATGTCTACATGATTTTAAAATGTTGGGCAGACTTTATTATTAATATTGAAATTTTAAAACCTTTAGTTGGCATGACCCCATGTTTAGCAGATTCAAGTAAAGTCCGAAGGTAACACTTCAATCTCTAAGTTCTTTTCAAAAAAGGGAGCTGAAAGTGAAGACACAAAGCCAAAACAGAAAATATCATGTCCCGAATTAATCAAGACCGAACATACAGAAGACCTGAGTGAAGGAGCTAAATCTGAGGAGGGAGACAAAGACTTAAAATTCAGTGGTTCTTCCCATTCTCAAAATACTTCTATGCTTCCAATTAAGCGTGAGTATGAGACTTTTTCAGCTGATTCAAAGCCAGCATTGGCAAATCATGATCAGATAAGTTCGAACCCAGGAAAGAAAAGAGAAAAGGCAAAGACTGCTGATGATAAACAACCAACCTTGTTTTCATACTTTGGAAAAAAGTAACCACTAAACTAACCTGTTTTGGTATGCACGAGCATGAAGATTGGTATGTTTTTATTGGTATAAATTACATATATGCATGTATTTCCTTATAGGTGACGTTATAGTTGTACATTTGCAATCTCTGGTCTTGTAGGAAGGTCTCTCTTTAAACTTTGGTTCATTCAAGAGGAGCTTTATACAGTAATGCTTTTTATAGTACCAGTATTATTTTATGGTTTTGCTGAATACAAAATGTGGTCTCAGCATGTTAAAATGCTTCCTTGTTCGGTCATTATCTGTTACCAAGGTTGTCAAAACTTAAATTGTAAATTGTAAATTTGAATTGTAAATTCGTAAGAATTTACTTAATGAAAAAAATAGGTTAAAATATTTATAAATAATATAATAATTCAACATTTCAATTCTATATTAAAGTAAAATAACAAATTATAATAATAAAGTAACAAAGTTTAATAGGAAATCTATAATTTTAAATAAGATATAAGTTCTTAAAATGACGACAAATAAAAAATTAAGAAAAGATTAATATTTTTAAATTTCCATTTTTAATCCTCTAATATTATTTCCAAGTCTAAGATCTCCATCACCATTTTGATCATTATTGCCACCATGAAAAAAATATACAAAAGAGAAATGGGAAAGAACCTTCATCATAAGAACCTTAGAAACACCACGGCACAAGAGAATGTGGCGAGCCAACCATAGAAACACTAACCAAAAGAACATGGCGTTGAGCCACTGAAGTCGATGAGCTACCATAGAAACACCACAACATAAAGAATGTGACTCCGACCAGAGAGTAAGCAAGTGACATGGCAACCCTAATCAAAGAACATTGATGAAATCACGTGTTTTGGGATTCAGATATTCGTTCGAAACATGAGAAGAAAACAAACTCTAAAGTAAAATGCCGCTCTTAATGTCATTTTGAAGGTTTCATTAATGAATCTTGCAGACTTGCAAAATCACAATAAACTCACGATTTTGAGTGATTTTGCTCGAATTCAATCGAGTTTACTGAAAATTAAGTTTGTATACGAGTTGAATAGGTTGGATTGCTCAAACTCGTAAACTCGATGGTTTTTACGAGTTAACATGTGATATTGACAACCATATTTGATACAATTGTATAGTATTAATTTAGTCGTATGAAATAATTTTGGACATTCTTGCAATGAATTGCAAAATTGGCAATCATGTCCTAGGTTCCTTGTTGATTGGATTGTACTAGATTTAACTTTTAAGTGAACAAAAGTTAATTTACGGCGATTAAGTTTGTAATTATATAACCAATTTGATACAAAATGTGAATTCGATACAATGGAATCTAATTTACCTTAATTTAGTTTTTTAACTGTTTGATACTAACTAGTTGAACTCAATTTCTTAAAATTCACCAAAATATAGTTATGAATTCTAGTTATAAATTTAAACTAATGGTATCTTATAATCCAAGGAGAAACGTTTAGCTTGGTAATATAAACAAGTTCCTAAATAAGTATGAACAATTGCAAATTTTAATTAAAATGGTATTTTTTTATACATTCTAAAGTTTTGGTTTGTTTGAAATTGTTTTGATTTCTTATTTAAAAATTAATTCAATTTAATTAGTATTTGTTTCATATTCAGTATTTTTTTATAGTTTATATTTTTTTGTCTCTATTTTTTCAGTTTTAACTAAATTTGTTTAGTTATAAGTATTCCCTCTTTCCCATGTGATTATATATATATATATATATATATTATACTTCTCAAGATTTGTATTAAAATTTGTCTCAAATGACGTGATAATTTTACATGAATACTCTTTCTTTTCTTCACTTAATTAATTTAGACTTGTTTAAATATTACCTCTTTTTTTTGTTACCATTAATTTATTTTCGGATTATTCGGAAACCAAATGGTCTTAATCGCTTAACCTTCTATTTAGGAAAACTAATTGCCTTTTGTTTTGAACCTTAACATAGTCACGATTTATCAATGATAAGGACATCCTAAACGTCCAGCATCCCAGCATTTAATCCTAGAACTTTAGTACAAAAATTATCAAGTGCCCATACAATATTGCAATAGTAATAAATATATAAAAAAACACGAAAATAGATTTTTTACATAAAGTGAACGAGTAGTGCAGTCATTTTGACATTTTACATGAAGGTTTACAAAAGAAAATGTATAATGGATTCTTTCTCCAAGATCAGTACAACTTTTGGGGCCAGTTCTTATGACTAGTTTTTCCTTTACGTACCAAGACTTGTAGAATCATTCTCTTGGTTTTACTTTTCACATTTTGAAGGAGAAAGTAAAGGCACATGGAGAAATAAAAAGTTTTAATTGTACTTTTTGGCTACCTATTTCATGATTTTGCCAATTTTATCATCCAACTATTAAAATTTCACATTTATCATCTAATTTTAAAAATTTTACACATTTTGTCACTTTGTTAGTTAATTTTCTAATATGATTAGTTGATCATTGATGTCATATGTTGACTTTTGACATTTCAAGTTAATGACATGACATAAAATAGTCTATCATAATTTTATATCACATTAACGAATCATGTTAATAGTTAAAATGTCATGTCAATGTAACATCGGCTAATGATCAATTAATAAAGTGACAAAATATACCAAAATTTTAAAATTAAATATCAAATCATTCAATTTTAAAAGTTGGGTCTCATGAAATATGGGTGAAAAATATAGCAATTAAGAAAGAAAATAAAACGAGGAGATGAAATCCATTACTTGTGGTTAACAAAGGGGAAATAGTTGGGGGCGTAGAAGAGGTAGAGACCAACAATAAGCCTCTATCCAATTCCCCTTTGGTGTAATTTCCATGATGATCTTCTTTAACATCCTAAGAGGAGCCATGACACCCCATTGTACCACCGGACGTGATCCAAGGCAGAACCCTCGTCGCTTGTTCCCTAGCCGGATGCTGCTGCCTCTCCGCCGACGGAGCCGCCGCCGAGGACGGCAAAAACCAACCATAAGTGTAGAATTTGCCAACATTGAAATGCTTACACCACCTCTCTTGAGCATATTAGCAAACACTATAGTTAATTTCTAAATTGTTTTGTGTAACATGGCATGATACTAAACTCTTATATAGTATGTGCAAAAGGGACGTCATTCATCATCATCACAATGGTCATAATGGCAGCAATTATAACAATCCTAATGCTATAGGAATAATTCTAGTGTGCAAATAAAATAATGCTGGACAGAAATTCCTTTATTCTTCTTTAGTAGTTTAGGGTTGTGGTTGCCATCATTAGGAGGAGTATGCTTATAAGTTAAGATCGAATAAAATGAACTTAAGGTAGCCGTAATATTTCTTTTCCTATGAGCTATTATTGTCACTTGTCTCTTGCTTTCCGTATGAGCAGGAAGAGCAAAGTTCTTTAGTTTTTATTTAAAACTTGGGAGAATGGAGTGAACCATGCACCCGAGAAAAGGTGTCACATTATTGTTTCTCGAATTCATTTTGGAATAATGACGCTCCACGATCACCATAAAAGCACTTTAATTTGATCGTAGGAGAGATAATCATTTTCAGTGTATAATAATTAAATCCTACGGGTACACTTTTCTTTTTATCGCTTTATTCATTTATTATTATTAGTAATCCTACATGTATGCTTTTTGAACTTTGTTCGTAATCTGGATTTGTAAATTAACAAACCGGATATATACTCTTTAAGAAAAGTTTTAATTTTAAGTCTCATGGATTAAAAAATATGATTCAGAGATCATAGGCATTTGCTATGTTATTCTTTATCAGGCACATTTGATATGGTGTTAGAACTATTTTCAGAGATGTTTTTGCTTGCATCGATCCAAATTTAGAGCAGATATCCAACTACAAGAAGACAGTTAATTTGACTAAACATTCTTTTATTACTTTTCTACTTTTTTTTATGATTTTAAATTTCACATAGATAATTAGAAAAATCTTGATTTGAATCATTGTATTTTTTTAGGGGAGAGGAAGAGAAATGAGCCCTAACAAACAGGAATGATGGTAATAATTGTAAACCATGATCATATACATGGAAGTAGTGAGTTTGGATGAAAAATTTTAGAAATTTAACGAATTTAAATTACTTTGATTTCAATTTTCATCGTTCTTTAAATGTTTTGTTTGGAAAAGTCTATTTAAATTTCTTAAAATTTAAATTCTTAGTTTTCAATATAAATTTGATTTTCATCATGAATAAAATTGATTATATATGTAACACCCTATTTTTTTATATAATAATAATAATAATAATAATAATAATTATTATTATTATTATTATTATACAGTATTAGGTCAATATTATTTTATTATTATAAGGGAATGTTATTTTGTATATTTTAAATAAATATTTTTATTAACATTTTAAATAATTATTTATATGTTTTAAGAGATAATTTAGGAGTTGATAAATTATATATTTTATTATAAAATCTAAAAGGTTGATTTATATGATATTTTAATATTGAAATTATATTATTAAATTTTGGGTTAGAAATATATTATTTTTATTATAGAGGAAGAATATTTTATATAATATATGTATTTATTTTATTTAATTATTTTGGAGAAAAAAAGAAGCGGGTTGAAAGCGAAGGAAGATGTGTTGGGTTGACCCAATCTAATGGATTATTTTAAGAAAGGGGTCAAACAAAGTTAATCCTAGGGTTAGGAAAGAAAGAGAGGAGAAACAGAGAGCTTTGAGGAAGAATGCTCAAGAAGTTCTTAGAAACAATCTTAAATTGCTTCAAGGTTATTCTGTTTAACGCAACCAGCTACGGAAGAAAATAGATTATTTGTATGCAAAGTCACATGAGAGAATTTGGTAAAAGAGGAATCCCATAGAATTATAGATAATTATAATTATTTCTGTTTGAGGAATTGATGACCCCATTAAATTTTTCATGAATTGAGGAGTAGGAATGTGCAAACAATTTGTAAAGATGATGATCTCGAAGAGAGAACAAAATTGTAGAAAAATGTTTGTGAGTTAGGTTTTTGAAAAATTGGAGTTTTACTATTTGAGTTGATTCTATAAAATTGATGATTCAATCGAGTTTTATATTGATTTATAAATGTGGTTGTAATATTATTTGGAAAAATTGATGATCTAGATGATAATTGGATTTATTGGGATGTACTCTATAAGTTAGGGTTCTTGTAGATTGATAAATACCCTTAATTATATGAATTAATAAGTAATTGGAAGATTTTACTTATGGATGTACGTTAATATTTATGTAATATTTTTTTGATTAACAAAATCAATTCTCGTTTGTGGGGTTAGAAAGTAGACACTTGAGGCTATAATTTAGACTCTAGAATTAGGTGAAAATGTTAAGAATTGATTGAGTTATGCGAGTTATAAGTTCAATCTCCATTCTAGGGTGCAAAATATTAAGTTTTGTATTGTCAATCATACGAGGTGACCTTAACGACATTTTTAGGCTTCGTATTCTTCACAAAGGTTGTAGCTTTGGGTGTTATATTTCTAATGGATTTGGAATCACTCAAAAAGGACGTGTATAACTCAAATTATGGTCAAAATAGTAAGTAGAAGTCAAGTTGTTAGAATTTATGGTGCTCAGCGCGAGTATTCTATTTTAGTTTGCGTTTTTGACATTTTAGGACCCCCTTTTTGGCATGTTTGTGATAATTTATGATTTCTTAGTGATGCTTTATAATACTTATGATATGATTGAATGAGTTTGATGTGGGATTGTGAAATATGGTATTATATTGATGGATTTTGATGATGGTTGTGAATCGTACGATGTCCAGTAATGACTATAGTATGAAAAGGTATAAATGGTGTGTGATAGATGGAATATAAATTAATTGTGAATTAAAGATTGATGTGTATGAAGAGGTTGTGCAAGATATGTGTATGGCTTATTATTTTGTGTGAAAATGTTGGTTGTGCATGTGATGTGGAATAGAATTGTGAACTATGATGTAATGAGTGGACACAATGGTATGTGTGACACCGGGCCATAAGGGTCTGCACGTGATACGGTGCTATTTATGGTTTGTTATGGGTATAGTCGTATGCGTGATACGATACTAGATGTGTGATGCATCAGGTATGGTCATATGCGTGATATCGGTGCCGATAGTGAAATGTATTAGCATAGTCGTGTGCTTAACATGATGCTGGATGTGTGATGCGTCAGCAGGGCGTGTACGCGATCTAGTGCTGGATGTAAGACACGGTGTATATGTGCAATTTGTTTATATGTACATATGTGGATTGTGATAAGATGATGGAATATGTGGTTTTGGGGCATGATGTTGAACATGTTTGAATGATGAATGTTGTGTTTATGGATTATATTGCTTTGAGATTATTTTGTGGAATTTTGTGATGTGCTTTCTATATAAATATCTTATTTTCTCACCATACGTTTGTGGTTGTTGTTAAGTGAGGAAGATGTGGACATGATTTACATTTAATGTGTCAATAATTGAGTCTGATAGTGTGACATCGGGGCAAGGGTGTTCTAAGACTTTAATTTTTATTGTAATTTGAGTTTTTACATTTCCTTTGAAACTATTTATGAATTTATTTATATTCTAAACTTTATTTTAAATTGATAGGATATTGAAGATATATTCTCTTTTGGAGATGTGAATCATTTTACCCGTGTTGGAGTAACATTTCTTTTTATTATTTTATATATGTATTGTGTAACGACCCGCCATGGTCTCTACACTTAGTGGAATCGCACTACTACTAGTAAACTAAGAAAAATATTAAGTTGGATAACTCATACATACAGGTATAGATAAGAATAAAAATAACTAAGTTTCTTAAATACGAAATAGAACGCCATATATGTACAATCATCCCAAAAAAATAATATTGCCTAGTGCCGGTCAAGCACAGACAAAACCGTTACCCAAAATAGTAACTCAAACACGAGGATCAAACTCCTCGTCTCGCAGCGGTCACCCCAACTCCAAGCTAGCCCTGACCTGCTCCCATACAAGGTATGATCATCGCTGTCCATCCACATAGAAACAGAAGGGTAAGCTAGAGTTCAAAAAGCAATCATACAAGTATAGAACAATAATCTATACTACACAATCATCCAACTATCAATCATATTCATAGAGTCACACCATACACTCTATCCAATACTACTCATGCATAAAATACAATCCACCAATCATGAAGTCAAACACCACACTTCATCATATTAATAATCATGCAATAAATGCATCTCATGACAGATATCAATGCATATCAATCATCTAATGCGTCGTCATGCATACACCTAGGAGATCTCCATAACAACAGAGCTGTATAAGTGACATTCCATCCTACCGAAACCATCCCAACCGTTTTCACGCCCAATGCCCCCGCTCGGTCACAGCTAAACAGGATATATAATCCTCACTCGGGTTTACTCGGATGATGTCACTTACACAATTGGAAGTCCAGATCCACCGTCAGGTATAGCACAGCTGGGTACGGGCTTACCACGACCTTGGCATGCATTAACCAAGTCAATTGTGGAGTTCGCCCACCGACTATCCGCAAGGATCCACGCACCTTCCCGAGTACTTGGTTAAGGGAATAACCCTCGACCTCATACCCCGCTCCAACACTAGCTAAGGACTTAGAGGAGACTCACCCAACCCAGTGGCCTATCTGAGCACCACTCTCCCAAATCCAGTGGCCTCCCAGAGCACCACTCTCATATATCAGTGGCCTATCCAAGCACCACTCTCAAGAGACTCTACGTGAGCTCTTCCAGTTCAAAAATATTTTTCCTCTCCTCAAGTCCTAGGCTAGACTCATGCCATAAGGCATCACATGCAATCATGCATCATACATCATACATGGTCTGCCCACCATCATGATCAACAATCATACACATGTCATAAGACATCACATGCAATAATGCATCATACATCATAGATGGTCTACCCACTATTATGATCAATAAACATACTCATATGAACATATACACATGTCATATCATATTCAAACATTCATACGTATCATCATAAAGTATACATATGAATCATACCCC